CCTTCCCCCGCCCTTCCCCCGCCCTAGCCTCCACCCTCACCCTCACCCACTCCCTCGCGAGACGAATTGGCTAATAAGGGGCGAGGCGTGGTCGCCACTAGCTCCTCCCCTCAGGAGGAGCGGAATATAATAATGCGCTCCGGCAGGGTTTCGGGTTAATTTAGGCACGCCTTACGTCAAACGTGACAGGCGGAACAGGAGCTGCTCCCGCGGGGTTTCTTAAATTCTGTGTTCTGCTCAGTCCCTTCTCAGAAAAATTATGTTCCGCTTCGAAGCGATTATTCATAATTATAGCAAAATAGTGTTTAATTAACAAACACATTTTTAAATATTGTGGATGATGGACTGTTTTAAACATAATTAAAGATTTGATGTTTCTACACAGTTAAATTGGAAGAATAATTATATTGTTGTAATAATAAGTCATAGTATTTTTTAAAAATAAAAACCGTTTTTGAGGAGAATGATACTGGCATTGTCTACTTTGCAAGTATACTATCTTTTCAACAGGTACTCGGTGCGACTATTTTCTCCATGAGGAATTATCATAAGGCCCGAAACGCTCTATAATAACTGAGACGGAATTCACGAAAGTACTTAACCCTTTCAATATTATTTATTAAATACCTTCTAGTAATAATTATACCCTTGAATAAATAATATGATCAATGGCTTGAACAGTTAAGGCAACTAGAGCTCGTGTCGACTTCGACTGTTGTACAGGAGGCAACAAAAGAACGGATAACAGCAACGTGTTGAAAGGGCTGTGCTGATCCGTCTGAGGCAGAATGAGAAATCTGTTTGGAAAGAGGCCGATAACCAGGTGGGCCCAGAATGTTGTAAGACTTTCTTAGATCAAAGATGGCCACTTGATTTGGGTCATGGTATACTTAAAGAACCAAGGGGGCACTCCTTAATGGTATAACGTACATACGGATGAAATGCTGCTTTATCAGCAGTATTGTAGCATTATACAAAGGTTGGCCCCGAATATCTTGATTTTTTTTTGCTTTCACATTGTTAGAGATTGTCCTGATCCTAAAGAAGGGTATGATAAATGTCTACTTGTCCGGGTTTATTACACCCCGTGCGTAACGGAACAACCTTCACCATCACAGATTGGCAAACTTAAACTAGTACAGGTTCAAGTACAGAAACGTTAAACACGAATGAATATGATGAACTATGAATCCAGTATCCCGAAGAAACTCAGGAGAACATGTCAGATTCGCCCGAAGGTTGCAGCCAGACTCTCGTGTCATACCCGTAAATCTGTCACGAACCTCATGTACGAATCTCTTAATCCTAGTACCATACCTTAGATGTTTTTAAACCTCAGATTCACTTATTTGTGTTTTTTCTTAATATTTTCAATCGTCTACATTTACCTTGGTGTATTTATCCCGCAGATACCTAATGTTTTTCTCCTTTTTATTAATGAGATATTTTCGTTACTTCGGATTGCCCCCGTTATAGCCATTTATTTTGGCACACAACTCTTTATCTTTACATAATTACAAATTAACACTTAGTTGTTATTAAATTGGTTAATTCTACAAAACAGATACAGAAATAATTGGTTTAGATTCGTACAACTAATGTCTCATAGGTTTAGAAATATAAAATCATTTCCTACTAAGTAATTACGAACTGATTACAATTCAGAATATATTCACACACCTCATATCATTTGGAGAATTATAGATTTTTGTATAAGTTTAAAACCAACTATTTATTTTATGTTTTAAAGAAATTAGAATTTAAACTGTCTTAAAAAAGATATCTTTTATTTTCTTAAACAGTCGAGGTATAGTTGAAAGGTTATTATTTTTATGAATGTCTAACAATTTTGTATACCCCAATTGACAACAAAGTCACCGCAGACTTCATTGTCAACTGACAATGGGATATACAAACACAGTCCTGGTATAGTTGAGATATACAAAGCAGTCTAGGTATAGTTGAGATATACAAAACAGTCCAGATATAATTGAGATGTACAAAACAGTCCAGATATAGTTGAGATATACAAAACAGTCCATGTACAGTTGAGATATTCAAAAACAGTCCAGGTTTAGTTGAGGTATTCAAATACAGTTCAGGTACAGTTAAGATATTCAAAAACAGTGCAGTTACAGTTGAGATATTCAAAAACAGTCCAGGTATAGTTGAGATATTAAAAAACAGTCCAGGTATACTTGAGATATACAAAACAGTCTAGGAATAGTTGAGATATACAAAACAGTCGAGGTACAGTTGAGATATACAAAACAGTCCAGGTATACTTGAGATATACAAAACAGTCCAGGTATAGTTGAGATACACAAAACAGTCCAGGTATAGTTGAGATACACAAAAAAGTTCAGGTATAGGTGAGATATACAAAACAATCCAGGTATAGTTGAGATATACAAAACAGTCCACGTACAGTTGAGGTATGCAAAAACAGTCCAAAAATACAAAGCAGTCAAACCAAGTGGAGGCTGTCCACTCACCTCGAGCTGCACGCCGAAGAGGTCCCTCGAGCGGTCGGGGTGGCGCGGCTTGTCGAGCGCGCGGCAGCTGGGCGGCGCCTCGCCCGAGCTGGCGTCGTCGCCGCTCACGGAGCTGGCGGCGCCCGCCGACGACGGCGCCGACGGCCGCTCGGGCTGCATCGGGTCCAGCCACCTGCACACACACACAACGGCCCTTCATTAGTGCCCGGCGCCACGCAGCGATATTACTAGGGGGGGGTTTAATGACCTGAAAAATCGCCAAAAATGATCAAGAAAGTGCCCTTAAAATGATTTAAATATTACATAAAAACAAAGAAAAATGACGTAAAAATACTGTAACGTCGTGTGTAGTGATCTACACCACAAGAAAACAGACACGAGTGAGTATATACAAGTTTTATTTACACACTGTACATATTT